ATTGTCCCCTCAACCAGGAGTTCAACTGGGAGTTTGACTGCTCACTACGATGTGCACTGACTACTAGGGAGCGGTGCGGAACACAGCAGGCGATGGCGACACAGCGCTGGCAGTGGGCTGCAGTGGAGGTGCTGCCAGCTCCAATGGGCCCCAACAAGAGCAGGACTGCAGTGGGATGGTGGAGCAGGTGAGGGGGTGGCACCATGCCAAGGTAGGTGCGAGTGAGGTCCAATCGCTCCACTGATCGCCCCACAGATGGAGACCAGCAGCAGCGGCGGGGGGTGGGGCTGCTTCCCAGCTACCAGGCACTAAGTGAGCCAAGCAGGGGGCCTGATGACTCAGGTGGAGGGGGATGGGTAGGGGTCCTGGGGCCCAGAGCCCAGAGGTCAGCTGGGACCTGTCCTTATACTCCAGATGCTCACACTTCAATTGCCAGCCAGGCCTAGGGACACGCACCGGGCCCCTAGTGTGTGTATGTGTGTGTGTGTTCAATGATTCAATGTCTGTGATGATATATATATATTCCCCAGTTTGCGGCTTACTTTTTTCATTTTTAACATGAAAGTTTTAAATTTTGACGGAGGCCAATTTATTACTTTTACTGTATGTATATTGCCTTTTGCATTCTGCTTTCTCAGATTACAAAAATATCCTCACATATTTTCTTCTACAAACTTTATACTTTTAGCTCTTACATTTCAGTTTGAAATTTATTTCAACTTATTTTTTATGTATTGTGTGAGGTCAAGGTTTATTATTTTTTTCATTATGGATATCCTGTTGATCTAGTACCATTTATTAAAAAGACTTTCCTATCCCCCACTGTCATAATTATTCACCAAACAATTTGAATGTATATTTGTAGAACTGTTTTCATTATTTCATCGTTAGACAATATGTTAGTTATATGGTTTTCATAGATAACCTTTATCAGATCGAGAGATCTACCTTCTTTATTGTGAATGGACATTGAATTTTGCCTAATGCTTTTGCTGCATCTATTGAGATGACCATATAAGTTTCTGCTTTACCAAGCTTGCATTCTTTTTGTTTGTTTGTTTGTTTGTTTTTTAAATTAAATCTTTATTGTTCAGATTATTACATTTGTTCTTCTTTTTTCCCCCCATAACTCCCTTCCTCCCAGTTCCCGCCCCACCCTCCGCCCTCACTCCCCACCCACTGTCCTCATCCACAGGTGCACGATTTTTGTCCAGTCTCTTCCCGCATCTCCCACACCCCCTTCCCCCCCCAAGAATA